GTCACGCTCCCGGCTTCCCCGCGCTGATTGGCGGAGGGGAGGCTGACATCACCGGAGGGGGGGGGCTGACGTCATGCGGGGAGGGGCGTGACGTCATTTGCAAACAGGGTGCACTGACGAGGGCGGCCGGCAGGGGGCGGCGGGGGCGGCCCGGGGCTGGGGCCCTGCCCGCGGCCGCAGGGGGGGCAGCAGCGGGGACCGAGCACCCCAAGGACCCCCCCGGCCCTCACACGGGGCCAGCAGCAGCTGGGGGCGCCCATCTTGTTCTCCAAGCACAGCACGAAGGCAGCACGCTATGGGCAGCGGGCGCCATGCTGAGGGGATCCAGGCTGGAGGTGTCAAACAGCACCCAAGGGAGCCCGCTGCTGCCTCGTGTCAGCCCTGAGTTGTCCCCTGGCTGCAGCTTCCACGTGAATTCATCTCCCCGCCTGCCCAAAACAGAAGGGCGCACCCCTACCACGTCCTGTAGGGCTCAGAAGTACAGACGTGTGGCAATCAGTCAGCTCTTACAGAGATAACCAGCTCCCAGAGCTTTTTTTCTTTTCCCCCTCCAGAAATAATGAAAAGTTTCGCCTCGTTTCATATTGCAATGTGCAAAGTGAGGGAAAAATCTTAAGGGAAGCCTTGTCACCTGAAGCATAACTTCTCTTTAGTACGTATTTTATTCTAAAAGGCAATGGCAATAGAATAAATAGCATTCGCAGACCTCTCAGACATACAAGCCTGTAAATCCCAGTGAAATTCTACAAACTGGTCTAGAATTTGCTTTAAAACTTCGCTTTTTACCCAAGAACTGCACCCCGTATTTGCTGATTTTTATTAATGCCAAACAGCAGACTTAATAATAGCTTTTGGTACCAAAAGCTATCTCGCAGTCAATACTGCCATTCTAAAAGACCAAAGCATCGCTTGCCTTTTAATCCAAGTCTCAGAAGGAAAAACAAGTCAGCGTTAACTCTGACTCCTACAAATTCACTCAAGAAAAATGCCAAAAGCCATCGTAATTTTTAGCCACCCAGCAGATTAAACTGGAAGCATTACCTATTCTTAGCTCTGCATCAATATCTCAATTGCGTGATTAAAATAAGACAAAACGCTTACTTTCAAGGGATTCAGCCTTCTTTATGGCAGGCTATTGATTTACAACTACACAGAAACAACACTAGAGTGGTAAATACATCTATATCCTTGGGAGATGGCAGGAGGTATTTAAGAAGCAGGTTAAAAATAAATTTGCCTTGAATTCCTAACTTGTACCAAAACATGCACATTGCAAGGAAACCGTAGTGTGAAACAAGGGCCAGATAAAGTACGAATCTCCCAACAACTACCCCAAAAGATAAATTCTGATGCTATCAAGTTGTCAAAAAACAGGTTGCAGGAAAACAACAAAATGCAGATGTGGATAAATATTGTGTGCATCTCTAAAAACCATTCTGCACAGCTAGCATGCCTACATTGAAGACTGCCTCGCACAGAGGACCACTTCCCCAGAGGCTCTAATAGGCACTGCTGCTCCCATGTACTTGGAGGAATAAAGATTCAGAGCTTAGCTAGCAAGAGAAACCAAGCACCGCTGTTGAGCCTCATCGCCGATTTCTGTCACAATAGTAGTAATTAGTTTTCTTAAGTAGATATTAGCCTACTTTTACGGAGAAACGGCTGAAAGATGTGTATACTTACCAACTGACAAGAGAATATTTTAACCGTATGTGCTCTTGACCTAGAAATAGGAACTACGTATACACTTTTTTCAGATTCTTCTCCATGATAAAAGTAGCACAATTCATGGAGAACAGCGTGACACTGTTTGAATTTGTTTTATAGGAATGCTCAAGATCTGAGCTTTTGAATAATACAGATAACGTGCAATAAAACTCATTCTCTATTCATTAGAGAATAAGCATGATAAGAAATGAAAACAAATGACTGCTTACTCAAGAGCCTGAGTTTGTTCTTTCTTTTGCTGTTATTCTTTTCCCATTAATAAAGTTCAAAGTGATGGTGTGCAACCAATTCAGTAGTAGTTTGTATTCAATAGTTGAAGCTTTTCAACATGAGAAAGCAGTAAATATCAGGGTACAATGGAGAAACCAAGTGCCAGTACTTTTCCAAATCATTTGTGGGAATTAATTTCTCACAGCAGATTAAATTCTAACCTCTTAAAAACCACATGCACACATTCAGCACATGATTTTGGGGTAAAGACCTGTTAGTTTTTAAAATGCACTATCAGAAACCATAGCTAATAAACCATGTAGAACCACAAATTATTCTTCTCTTCCCACAGTTCGTATACAAGATGATCTAGCATAATATGATAGAGCAGCATATCCAAACAAGCCTGTGAAATTCAGACACCCAGTTTTCTCTGGATGTTCCTAAGCATTTGGGAGGTAGAAGAATTGACCTTCTTCAGTACTTCTAAAAAACCCTACTTTGATTTGTCAGGAATAGAGACCACCGATAAAAGTGTCCTGTCACACTTACTTTTACACCTTTTAACTAAGCTCAGAATTGGGAAGAAGTCCAATAGTTGTGGCTAGGAAACTTCTAAAGCCTCCAGGCAGCCATCATCTCGTAATCCCCAAACACGGACGGCTATCCCGTTACCTGCCAGAAGGTTTAACGCATTCTTACACTCGTGTTTCAATGCATGCCGCAATCATGTGATTGCTTATATCCATCCAGCCATGCAGACAGCATCAGCCGTGGGATGATGAGCACCACACCATGCACAGCACACAAAGCTCAGCGTATTTTCCTTCTTATTGTAGGACCGTAGACAGTCATGCCCCTGAAGGGCACACGCTTCGGAAGCTCCTTTGTAAAAGGCCAGGTTGGAGGAATGGTTATCAGGCACCACTACCAAGATGATCTCTGAACACTAGTGTGGTTTTAAAACAGGAGCTTCCAGTAATCCATGGATTAACAAAATACATTATCTAGATTAATCCAATTTGATTTACTCACTTGCTTTGGGCTTACTTTGTCAGAAAACTGCTTTAATTTTAGCTGGTCCCAAAATGCTACAAAATACACCACAGCATCTTCTCAAAAGCAGAAAAAGCAATCTTCATGGCCAGCCGCATTAACAAAACTGCACAGTCCATTTGAAAATACAGACTATACCATTTTCTGCTTTTATTATAATAAATGTTCTCTAAAATGTGAGCTCTTGGTTATTTCTGAGCTGTTTAATGCCTCACTTGGTAGAGGAGATGGCCTCAAACACCCAGTTTTGCATTTCTGTTTTCTAATGCATTGCTTCTTCCACCTTTGTTCTACTGGTCTAGAAATGTGTTACACCAGCCAGTCAGGAGAGATGCATGTGCTGATGGGCCAAAATAATCACCGTGTCCCAAATATAGCTTTTGCCTCAGCTGCTGTGCAAGCCAAATAGTTTATTTCTAGGACTGAACGCTCTCTACATCTGCTACAGGTTTGTGGAAGCACTCAATCATCCTCTGCTCACCTATCACACCTGTCCCCTTCTCCTTGAGCTTCATCTTCAGCTTAGAGAGCAGAAAAAATGTTGGGACAAAGTAAGCATTGTTTTAATTTCATACATCAACATGGGAATAGAAGAAAATCCATAAAACTCTGAACAGGTATACCACCTTACATGAAGTCCTACATGTCCGCACCATCCAGCAACGTGATGCACAACTGTTTAAAGTTGTTCCATATATGATTGAATGTTTTTTAGAGAAATAGAATACAAGACACATCACATCAAAAAAAAAAATAAAAATCTGAAAGTCTAAGAAAATAACATTGCTTCTTTACAATGAGGTTGTAAATCACTTTTGTCCGCACAGCTAATAACTGAAGTAGGACCAGCCAACCTAAAGGTTTCTTGGAAGCACCCTCGAAATACCAAAAGGACAGCAAAGCAAACAACAGCTACAGCATCCCAGAATCGTTCCAGGCAAATCCACAGTGCTCATTAGATTCCACCTCTGCAAACATTATCTGCCTAGGACTCCAGGAAGCCAAGACTTACCTCAGGACAGCTCTCAAAGCCAAGTGAAAAAACACGCAACCTTTCTGGCGTTAGTTGACTACACGCAAAGACCTCTAGTAATGTCGCTTTGGGCTGCAGTTTCCTGCATAAACACCATAATATAATACAGCGCACTGTTAACCCAGTCTACCCAGCCATATTCAGGTTATTTACTATATACAAACACTTATTAACACATTGAAACAACAGAAGAAAATGGATGCTGTTTTTTGTTCTATGATGAAATTAAAGAGACGGAGAAGCATCAATTAGATTAAAAAAATTTATTGAAAGTTGTCCAAAATCCAGCCAAGCACACATTTTATCCATTCCACTAAGCCTTTGCATTCTGTATGGCATCAAAAAAATGCATCTCACCAACGAGTTGAAATGTCAAACAACTAAATTAGCAAAGTTAAGGCACTTGAGCTCTGTGTTAATTTAGCAAAATTGCATAAGAAAAACATTCTACTTTGAACAATATCGTCCTTTTTGAGCTTAAATCTAAAGTGGCCAAATCCTGTAACCCCTTGAGACAGCAGAGAGGCAGAAGCAGAAAACATTTTCCTCTGACAAGAAACCTCCAAGGCCACCATAGTCTACAAGAGGAAGTATTACTGAAATAGGCCACAGATTTCCTGTAGTACAGATGCTGAATTACACAACAGCAGGAGCTGAGGCACAAGGTCTTCTATTCGAGAATCCTCAAGACAAAGCACCTTTGTGAGATGAGAGAGCAAAAAGCACATCCCTTCAACTGTAAGGCTAACAAATCTTCCCTGGAGTAACAATATTTATCCTGGAATTAGATAGCTCTGCCCACTCCCACATCCTCCCTAGTACATAAGGCTGAAACAAAACTTGGAGGAAACAGAGAATGCAAGAGCTTAAATAGTGACCAAAATCTGACACCAGGTGGTTTGAGCAGTAACTTTAAAGCCAGTTAGCAACCTGTAATTCACGTGACAGATAATCAGTTAACTTTGTAATCAGCTTTTTTTTCTTTTTTCTTTTTTTGAGGGGGGTGGTGGGGCAGGGAAGCATGGATTGCTATGGGAACATTTTTTCAGCTCTAAGCCAGTGCTTACAAGCTAACTGATGTAGTTTCAGTATTTGGCAAAGAAAGTTTTTAATTAATAATTAAACAAGTTTCTATATAACAAGTAGAGACTTCAATCAAATCAAGAACGGCAGAGTTTATCATATTTTCGTAATTTAGTGGGGGGAAAACAAATAAATACACCTATTTTTTTTTGTTTGTTTGTTTTGTTTTTCCAGTCCTGAATATCAACTATAAAACTCATTAGTAGATCACCCTGTGAAATGTTAATTTAAGTTTTAATGAGTCATTTCTACATGAAGAATTCTTCCTTCATCTGTGAAACGATCTCTTGTGTCATACAGCAGTTCCGTGCTCTTCTCAGCATTCAGATCCAGCTCCAGGACACGCACATACCATAACAGAACCTGCAGTATGCTCCGAGAGTTGAACACAGACAGAAGGAAGAGAGATGCAGGTACATGAGGAGGTCTCATCAACCATGAAAAGGCATGACAGAAAAGCTACCATCACCTGTTACATGTGAATAAGAAGTCAGTATTTGAGGGGAAGAAAACCATGGAAAACAGATTATCCAACTGAATGTAAAGTACTGTTTCTGGTTAGTCTAAGGAAACACGGTAGTTCTAAACACAAAGTTCAGAACTTCGTTAGATTCAAAGTTGTTTCAGAAGATGTAAAGCTTATGAGAGAGATTGCATCTTAATACTCTGTCCTTCAGAGCACATTGCTTGTTTTATTTAAGGCACTACACGTTGTCTTTGGTTCAGTGTTTAACTATCTCATTCAGTGTAAAGAGAGGTAGCATGAACCATACATATTGAGCTCTTCCCTTCCATCCCACACAATTTCAGAGCCACCGCCTTTCTGATGTTACATTCTGGAATCCTTTAACTCATTAGGAAACTGCAGGGGGAAAAAAAAGAATGCTTATTAATTCTATAAGAACCAAAGCTATACAACATTCTATTTAGCTTTCACACATACCTAGAAAATCAGAACAAGGAACTGGGCCTGCTGCAGCTAAGATATAAATGGCTGTGGAGAAAACCACTTAAAAGCAAGCCTTCTAGTACCTCTAAAGCCAGAGCAACCACACTGTGCCTTCCACAGACTTAGAAGTAGTACGTAAGACCACAGCACAGAACAGAATAAAGGCCAATCAGTTATTCAACAAGGAAGAAACTCAGCTTTCTTCTGGTCTTACAGAAGTGACTAACACATTTTATTAATGAGATATTAACAAAAGCAAATGATCTGACTTCTGCCTAAGCAGTTACCCAGCCTGTGGATATAAAGAGATTGCAACAGTGGATTCAGAGGATTCCTTAATACACATCATGGATGCTTCTGAGGAGTCAACAGAAGAAGATCGAGAAGTACAAAAGGCTTTTTGAGGAGAATTTCAGTATCGGCATGAAAATATTGGGCTGGCAACACACACTGCAACCGTATGCACTTGGCTAAGGGCTGTTAGACAAGAGCACGAGATGTTTCACAGTGAGTTAGAGCAGCTGCCCTTGAACCTCACAGTTATGATAACAGCCAATAATTTCAGGAATTAATAAACTAACTTCAGACCTCTGGCTTCACCACGGCTACAGCCAAAACGTACACTCCCAGTCTCAGACAGCAAGATCACTGAAGAAATACTGAAACTGAAAATAAATAATGAGGAAAATGATTTTGATTTTAGCAACTGCCTGAACCTCACTGCTTGAATCTAATCCAGATGAGATTGCTCATGGTGATTGGTGTTAATCTGTAATAAGTAAAAATCTTGTGAAAATACATTTTCCATGTCCTTGTGTATTACAGACTCCTATGAACCCACCAATGCTCTCTGCATATACCCACAAGGTAACCTGCCATGACAACTTCTCAGAGAAACAGGACCATGTTTGCCTATGGAAACTAGGATTAGCTTTGCAGAAACATTAAACTCTTGGCAGAAGCCGAGACGGTTAGAAGCTGGCCCCTGAAATGTACAGATTCCTACAAAAAAAAAAAAAAAAAAAAAAAAAAAAAAAAAAAAAACTGGTAAAAACACCCAATACACCTGTATCTATCAATAAATAAATAAACCACTCAATGAAGAGTGCTAGACTCCTCATAGAAGCAGTCCTGGAATACTGGCAGCTTTAAATATCACTATGAGAATAGAAATACTTTGTAAACCATAGTGGCATGAAAAGGAAAGTACTGCAATCCTGGCTCTGGCCAGACTGAAAACTGTTATCCACCAAATATTGTGTTGCTGGTCATTGTATCAGCCAATATTGCTACTGTTTGAGAAGCAAGTGGAGCACTTTTTAAAGAGTATTTCCCACCAAACTGGATGTCAGAAAAAAAAAAAAGTGCTTTGCTTCCTTCTCCCTTCTGACTTACATTAACATTACCAGACAAGGAAATACCAGCCCACAGGAACAGATTCATTCATAAATCCAGGTAAAAACTTCTATTATTTTTTCTTAATCTTTATGCCAGTATTTTTATTTTCTCCATTCTCTACAAAGCAGACTGCAGTGATGTGTAGCTGCACTGCAATGCACACGAGAAGAACAACCGAAGCAGCAGCAAAGCTGTACCTGTACGGGTATCCGTGGTATTTCGACCTGAAGACAGAGAGCAGCCAACTGAAGAACAGCACCACCAAGCCAATCCCAGCTATACACATGACTGCAAGAGACACAAAGTAAGATTATGGCAGTGACAGCTCTCTCCAAAAACACCATAGTGACTGGGGTTTTTAAAAGCTTTCTGCAATATTTACAAGTTTGGTTAGATGAGGCCTTTATTATAATCCCTTAGGAGGAGGCAGAAGGCCAACAGTCCTGGCTTGTACCAGAAATAGAGTGGCCACCAGGAGTAGGGAAGCGATTTTCCCTCTGTACTGGGCTCTGGTGAGGCTGCACCTCAAATACTGTGTTCTGTTTGGAGTTCCTCACTACAAGAAGGACATCAAGTGCTGGAGCATATCCAAAGCACAACGAAGCTGGTGAAGGGTTTAGAAAAGAGAGTCTTATGAGGAGACTGTACTTTACAATTACTGTACTTTACAATTACCTTAAAGGAGGTTGGAGCGAGGTGGGGATTGGGCTCTTTTCCCGAGCACCAAGTGATAAAGACACAGGGAAATGGCCTCGAGTTGCACCAGGGGAGGTTTATGTTGGATATTAGGAGGAATTTCTTTACTGAAAGGCTTATAGGGCATTCGAATAGAACAGGGAAGAGGTTGAGTCACCATCCCTGGAGGTTTTCAAGAAACGTGTAGATGTAGAACTTGGCATGATTTAGTGGTGGCTTTCAATACCAGGTTAAAAAGTTGAACTAGATGATCTTAGAGGTCTTTCCCAACCTGAACACTTCTATGAAATATATCAGCATTAATTTTCTTTCAAATTCCTACTCTAAGTCAATTTTATACCAGCAGTTTAAGAGAAAAAAAAATCAGTCCCTTCTTCCCTCCCTTACTAACAAAATGGCGAGAGGCATCTTTACATCTTCCTTTCTCCCCAGATTGCTTTGAATTTTGCTGAACAGCTCCAAATGCTGGTGAAATAACCAAGGACTCACTTGTACTTAAAGGTGGAATGTATATGCACACATGCATGCTATGGTACGCATTCTTGGAGTAAAGCAGAGGTGTTCAACTTCTCTCCCACCAGAAGTCCAAGCGTACCAATGAAATCTGGGAAGAACTCAAACTACTGCTGCTGCTTCTGCTGCAAACAGCAGCAAAAGAAAAAAAAAAAAAAAAAGGTCTTGGGCCTCAGATATACGACTTGTATGGGACCTGCCTGCACTTTCAAATTAAATACATCTAATTAATAGCAGTGGAAAAGGAAAAAGATAGATCCATGGAATCTAAACTAGAAATAATTCTTGTTGTGATAACTGCAAGGTTGAAGACCCCAAACAACATTGTTTGCCGGAAACTGACAGGAAAATATTCTTTAAAAAAAATCAAAAAATGAGCTGATATTCACAATAAAAACCCCACAGTGTAAATGCACTTTTATTAAATATCGTATCAGAAATCTTTATGGCATCTAACAATTCTCGATAGAAAGACAAGTAGTTGTACTCACTTTTTCTTTTCCCCACATCCAGGTCAGAAGTAGCAGCTTCATGGAGGAGAACCATTCCTAAAGTAACACCACCATCTACGGACACTGTTTAAGGCTAAATCAACAAAATACGCTAGACTTAATACAACACACTCACTCCTCGTTTCCTGTGTTAACTCCCACCCCATACCTGGGAAATTAACACTCACTGGAAAAATTGAAGGCTTTCTGGACAACAACAGGTCGGGGGGAGGAAGCAAGTTGAAAGTTACTCAATAATTGACAACATTTAAGAGAAAATATACAGAAAGCTTCAAGTACAAACTGGAAGATACAGGGATATATCTTCTGCTATCTTTACTCAGCTAATAGAATAAATAAAATGCATGCAATGTTTGATCCAATGTGGTGACTTTCAAGTAGAAACATTTCAGTCTTTTCTAATTCTTCAATTAGAAGAAACTTAAGACCCCTTCTAAACGGAGTTTTTCAGTAGTAATAATAAAAAAAATCTTTGATAAAGCATACAGAGTTGAAAACTTCCCCCAGCATAAGCACCAGCGTACTTAAACATCAATTGCTTACTTTATATTGATGAATTAGAGAGGAAAAATGCATCTCTTGCTGAAATTTGGATATTAAGATTTAAGAGAAAAGGAAGAAAGCAACTGAAGTCACTCAGTTAAAGAACCTTGCTCTTGCAACAGAAGGAACTTGTTAACCACAGCAGAGCACTGAAGAGGACAGGTACTTTGAAAGAAGTTTTGAAACGAGACAGTTTAAGTGAGAAGCCAGTTGATGTGTCTGTAGTAAGTCTGCACATATGTATGCTTGTGTACCATGAGATGTAGACAATTCGGAGCTGCAAGGCCAAAGAACAGTATTAAACAAAAGATAAAATAAGGCACAGGCTGATGCAGGTGACAAGAGAAGGAAGAAGGGTTTGATTCAGAGATGATTCTAGGTACAGATGATGGATCAAAGACATGCATGTGCAAGCAGAAGAACGCTGGATTTCAGAGTACTACTGACACTCAAAAGAAACATTTTTATACAAGCGAGAAATGAAAAAACCCAGCCAGCAAGATTCTGCTTGCCTCTCTGATGGCTTAATACCAGCATGGAAAAATCCTGACTTGTTAGCATTAAAAAGAGCTAAAATTAAAAACAGAGAAGGTAAGCGAAGAAATTAAAGAAGAAACACCAGTAACAAAGGAAAGAATTCAACACCAAAGCAAGAAGTAAGTGAGACTGAAGAGACAAGACATGCAGAAAAGAACAGGGACTAGCCTGAAGAACCCTACATGTATAATGCCACTAGGATCCACATTTTTAATGTTATCCAGTTTGGTCACTGAGCAAGGCAGAAGTTAGAGAGAAAGCAGTAAATGTTTTTCTATTCAGCTTAAAGATCACTGTCATTAGAAAGGCGTAGCTGTCAACACAGAAAGGCTCTACAAGCTTCTGCTCAGCATTAGGTGACAGATACGAGCCTTGACAAAATGCTCTCATAAAAGAGGCAGCAGCATAAGCTAACAGAAAAATTGTCACCACCAACTTGCATCTCAGGAAGAAGGATACTAAACAGAAGAACAATGTGCGTTTCTGCAACAAATTGGGCTTGGCTGCTTCCATGGATATAGCTCTGCAAGAGACAAAGAGCAATTGAATTTTAGAAAGGCTGGAGTCAACTTTGAAACAATTAACAACAGCTATAAAGCTGGGAACTGGGTTTTGCAGTGTCTCTGTCAAGAGACAGGAAAGAAGTTGTAGTGTGAATCTGTTGTATACCAATTTACGTTATTAGCTGTTCACCAACTTATTTTGCAGCAGCATCAGAAATCCTTCTACTATTGCGTGTCAACGGCCCAAAGTACCGTACAGATTATAACACCAGAAGTGCAGCTACACCCTTCACGATCCAGATTGCCTGTTTGACAGGGCAAAACAGCACAGTAATGCCCAAAGCATCCGCTGCCTTCCAAGTCTGAGCCATACCCTGACTTGGATCCTTATTCTACATACATACACTGCTTCTCAGTTTTGGGACAGTCTCTTCAATTTGCACATGAACCCTACTCACTTGGCTCTGGTGCCCAACATTTGAAATTTTTTCATGGCGTCACAGCAAAAGGAACATCACTACCAACATCCTTGAAGCTTTACTCTTCAGCTTTTGTATTAAGATTAAAAATGGTTAGGAATAAGGTAAACAGAAGTAGTAATACAAAACAAAAAGGAGAAATGCTTCCAAGAAAACATTTCAAAGATGAGAACTTCTACTCTAAGCTGTCTCAGACAGGTTTGTTTTTTCTTCGTTACAAGTCTGCCAACTGAACAGAAAGTTCAAAATTTGTGGAAGTTAAAGACTGCTGATGTTCAATCCCTTACGGGAAGCTCTGCTTCACTATGATTGCGATGTAATATCCAAGTAGAAAAACACATTTCATAAGCAGATTGACTTTTAGTGGAAGAATACAGAGGGCCTGACCTACCTAAGCAGGCATGAAAGGACATCTCACTAAATTAATTCCCAGTAAACTGCACAAGAAGAGCCAATACATTATATGTGCCCTGAGAGACAATGCTCTTGGTACATACAGACTACTCTTACAGTGCATCTCCTTCTGTATTATGTGCAGGGCAGTGCATATCAAAACATGCTAAAACTGATTTTTCCCCAATAACAAGATTTCATGAGTCTAAGATCAGTAGACATTAATTTACCTTGAGAATCTCAAAGCAAGATGTTTTATATGAAGTCGTTACACAGGTGTATGAGCTAGAGAAGACCATAAAATACATGAAATCTCCAAGTTCAACAATAGCACTGCTGAGCATGTAAGACCTAACAGACACTTTTATTTTGCATTTAGTGATTTAGAATGATTTCTCTTCTTCTTGTGTATATATATGTATGTATGTATATTATATTCAAGACAGGAGAGAGCAATATCACAGGTAAATAAATGCTGCAAAGAAAACGGAAACAAACAGGAATGGTAAGAGATGGAAGAGATCAAGTCATTTAAAATAACCTACCTTCAGAAACTAAGAAAAAGCATTCTCATCATCCTGCTTCCAAGACTTACTGCTTTTTTGTTAAATATATATACACCTTTATACATTGGGGGAAGATAGAGAAAAACAGGAAAGATGAAATAAATGCTTATCTTAGGTTCTGAAGCAGGTGGAAAACACCTATCCCAAACATCTTGTTAGCAAACAGTTTTGGTGACTCTGTATGCTATCCTCTTTACCCTAGAGCATTATTTAAGTATCTTCTTAGCTTCCTGCAGTCACTAGAATAATCAAAGTCTCCACAGAAAGTCCCCAAAATCTCTGGGTATTAAAACAACAAAAATATACTCCAAGGCAACACTTGTGAACCAGGATGTCCTGTTTTCTGCAGACCACCATCCATATAATGACTAATGCTTTACTGCATGGAAAGCACTTAAACCTGTTTCCAACATGAAGTGGAGTGTATTGTTAGACAGTAAATTAATCACCATACTTCCAGCCCAATTAAGAATTGCTTATTCTTTATCTAGCTCCCAAACAGCTTATTGCTGAACACAGAAAGCAATATAGCTAAAAAAAACCTAGACAGTGTTTGTCCTTATCCTTCAAACATCACAGAACTGATAACACCAGTCTTATATAATTAATCAGTCACTGAACTAAAAATTGTAGTAATCACCTTCCTCTCAAGATGGAATTGGAGATAACCATTATCATATGGCAATGACACAACAGATTATTTGATTTTGGATGAAGATTGGTATTTTGTGATTGCTTATCTGCAAAGTAACTTGAGCTGCAAATTGCTTACAAAACCCCTCTCTCATGGGTATATTTTAAGAGAAGGCAGATCTTCTCTGAAGCAAATCTGAAGCTAAGTTGCCTTACGGCAGGACAGGTTAGCCTCATTGACTTAGTAAGAATGCAGATTCTATTCTTGGCTTCTTTCTGACTTGCCTCTTTTAGTATCGAATTTAATCAGTAGAAATATAATAAAAATGCAGAAAAGTAGAAAAAGAAAAGAGACTTACCACTTGTCCTGTATGGGGGTTCTTATGAGCATAGGGTGGCCCCCTAATGTGGTTCCACATCTGGCCTGACGTCATTGCTAACACAAAACACTGAAAAGGAAAAAAGAAACAATCATCTGTAAGGTTTTTTTTTCACCCAATTTCCTTTTCCTTTCATAGTAAGTAGTACTTAAGCTAAGCATCATCCTATCTCTTACTAGTATTAAAAGCAGGTAATCAAGCATTAACTGAGCTGAAAAGAATGAGATCAAATTATAGTATCAGACTACTAAAAAGAGAAGCTAAATGCACCTCGATTTCTTCTAGCATGTTTAAGCTTCTTTAAATACAATAGCTTTGAAAGATTTGAATTGCTATGAAACTCATAACAACAGGCAGAGAAGAGCTAGAATTACTCACCAAAGCAGCAAATGCCCAGCCAGTTTTGTTGTACAGAAAATCCAGATTGCTTCCACGCAAATACACAAGGCCTCCAATGACAGCCAGCAGCAGTCCTAACATCAACGGTCCAGCATAGTTTGGTGGCCTTATCACACGAATCTACACAAAGATCCGTTATTTTACCTCAACTGCATAACATATTATATCCTTACTCCTAACAAAAAACACATCAGAGTGGGAAAAAAATATGAACACAAAGAACATCCCCACAACTTTGTGTATAATAATTCTGACTAAAGAAGTAGGTAAAGCTTCTTCTCCTTTTACTGGTTTATGCACCGTTACCTTACCTACTACTTGAAAGACTGTTTTCCTTTAACAGGAGCAGAAAAGGGAGGAAGGAAGGAGCTGAGTTTTACCGTGTTATTAAACAGAGGATTACACAAAATATCGGAATGGGGTAAGGAAGCTTTAAGATGTAGCATCACAGAATCACAGAGATTGGAAGGGACCTTAAAGACCACCCAGTTCCAATACCCTTGCCACAGGCAGTGACAAGTTCCACTAGACCAAGCTGCCCAAAGCCCCGTCCAACCTGGCCTTGCACACTTACAGGGATAGAAGATTATATAGACAAGAGCCATTTGGAGTATCTAAGAGTAGAGTTATCAACCAAACACAATTACTTCATATTCTGGGTATTTTGTACCCAGAACATGTAATAAGTGAGTGCTGCAGAGCTGTTGGTGGGTAAAGGCTTAGTATACATGTGTAACACACGCACTTACATTGACATCAGTCCTGTCAGCCACCCAACGAGCAAGCTGCTCAGCTGCAAAGCCGCGCACCTGAAGTTCGTACGTGTCACCTCGTTTAGGCTTCCCTTTAGCAGGAAAATTAATGAAGGTTGGAGCAGAATTCATGTTTAGCTGTATTTAGAAAATTCACAGAAGACACAGCACCATGAAAGGTCTACTTCACAACACGCTTCCATTTCAACTGCAGACAGTCACCAAGTCAATCAGAAAGAACAACTATTCAATAAACGTATTTCACAGTGACTTTAAGAAAGTATACAGCACACAGCAACTCACACTTCTAGACCTCATAAAAACAGAACAGGCAAGAATTTGATCTAAGACAGTAATCAATAAGCTCCTGTAAGTTTCCATAGGTTCCATGCCATTTCCTCTCTTAAGCATTAGAAGCAACTTTTTTGATCTCTACCACTAGGTGTCCTGGATGCCTTTGGGGAAAACAAGGGTTTACTTTTTTTTTTTTTTTAAATTGAGCATACTTTCTCAAATGATCGACATTTCTTCATTAGTACTCCAATCTTTAGCTAGCATCTCAAAAGATCCAATCCAGTTAGTAGGAGACTACAGTAAAAAAACAGAAATAGTTGTTTTTAAAATGATGTTCCATCATCTTTTCCTAATGAAGACCCTTCCCCAACACTGTTTTGACCATAGCATTTCAGTTTTTATTTTAATGTTTCTTCTATAAATACTACTATTCAGTGAGGAAACTACAAAATAAGAATACATCCAATAATATGTGAAGGCCATAGCTTAGTGTTTCATCAAAAACTAATTCACTCTGGGGAAAAAAATCTAACAAGAATGTTAAAAAATTCCATGTCTACTTTCTAAAACTTCCACGTTACAAAGTACCATCACCTAAATTAGGTAACTTTTAAATACTGAGGCAAGCATCTCCTTAAAAAAAAAAGTTACAATTTGCAAAACTGATTAGTTATTAATTCTATCATTCCATGCATGTTTGCAATTGTTGTTTTATTTTCTTTTTAAATCTTGTTATATAATCTCAGTAGAAGAGCAAAAGAAGTCAGTTCTGAAAGCCTGATCAATCACCCCCTAGTTATCCAAATTTTTATATCCAGTCCTAAGTAATTCAGTGTTTTCTATCTTACTTCTTGCTGTATTCTGAGAAATTCCATTAAAAATGACACTGCAAGTTATTACAGGAGACAGACCCAGAGAAGAGTCACATAAGCTAATACACTCCTTACACCTATTCCACATTTGTCAACGCTGTTAATACTACTGCCAAAAATACTACTGCCCTCTGCTCTTCAATTTTCTTCTGTATCAGAGAGGTGGCTTTTAACTTTTCAGTGTAGTCACTGTAATATTACACAGCTTTAGTCATTCTAATACATTTTGTATGATTTTACTCTCATTCTCCAACGCATGAGCTAAAAATAACATTAAGAGATAAAAAAGAAATAACTTTACCATCTGAAACACATCTGAGCCTTCATCAAAATCGACCATAGCAAAAAAAATCTTATTGGTAAATGCACTGGAGTATCGCCAGGAATTTGCCAGAATCTGGTATTCCTCATCAGCCTGCCTGTAAAAACACACAAAGTGAGAGGCTGTATCATGTGTTAGCTCAAAACACAAGTTACAGAACAGTTTTAAGGCCTGTAGCCATCCATCCCCTTAATAGAACCATCCCACCCATTCCTCCACATTTGTTTTCTTATGTTTAACAAAAGAAAAATTGAGGTCATTCATCTAACATTCAAAGCATATGCACTTGTGTTTTTTTTTAATGTAAAGATAAAGTGCAAGTGTCATTGTGTTCATAACAAGAAGCAGTGCTAACCATGGAAAACAGAAATGTAACCCAGTAGATCACAGTTTGCTAAACCTTGGAGCACTGAAACAACACAAGCACACCCACTTTTCTGTGCCAGAGAATGGCAAACTAATTAGTATGGTAAAAAAGTTATCTTCTGATATCTATTTGAACCTTGCCATCCTCAGCTTAATATAAGAAGGCCTTTATATATTTAAGGATCTGGAATATTATTAGTGTAAACAAAAAAACATCAATCAATGTTAATTAACAGCAACTTTTAGACTGCAAGGCCAGCAGTAATCCTGAAAACATGTCCTCAGCAGCTCACACCAGGAAAGTTGAGTTTCCACCCTCTCTCCAGAAGCCTACCAATGAGAGTATTTTCTCTGCATAACATCAATTATTTTAAGAGGAGAATAAATCATTAAGGACTATACTGTTTTCCCACACTCATAACACACATATTCCCAGCAACAACTTCAAAGATAACCCTCCTATAATGGGCGTTAGTATCTTCCTCCTGTGTACCTGAAAGTTTTACCCTCTTGTTAAATTTAATGTCCTACAAAGCATATGATGACTTTCAAGTTCAAGATTATGAGTTAAGCCCATACTTGCACACGACACATTGTCTGTGAGGCTGAAGAGCAGTGAACATCACGATCACAGAGTAATTTCTGGGTGGCGCCTTCACAAAGCGTCGAAACTTGTCTCCGTTCATTCGGATTACAGATCTCTTACTAGCCCACTCCATCAGCTGGTTCACTTTTTCTGATAATACCATCTGAAAACAAAGCCAGAGAAATATTGTTGAGGGTTTTGTGTGTTTTATTTCCTCCAATCTCTCACATCACAGACCTGAAGGTTCGTATTTTCGCTGTAACAAACTGCTGCACATTTTTCATTACGAATACTGACTGCGTGACAGGATGCTTCATAAAGAGACTCAAAGGCTTTCACAGAGCCTCCTGAGCCTCACGCTAATGATGTTCATTTACTTCACGCACCGATGTGGCTGTCAGCTTGGGACTTTCTCACACTAACGATAAGATTTATTTCAGCCACACAAAGCGCCCCAAACCCAGCCCTGTTGGTATTTATTTGATACAAAGCATCACACCCGGGGAAGATTTCAAAACTCATGAAGTGGAGCAAGCGCTAGTGCTGTAAGGACTATGGACGGGAGCTCAACGATTGATTTCCAGGGTAGATAAAAGGAAAAAAAATGATTCTGTACACGCTTGCAGAACTCATGAGTGCACAGCACATTCTCCTTTAAAAAAAGGCAAAGAGCGTTATAATATCATACGAGAAGCATAATTAACAGAAACCAAGCATTTCCCAGTAGCTATATCTGCACTCCTTGCGAGCCCTCTCAGGAATAAACACGCTTTGGTAAATAACCGACTACCCTTCGCTGCCTTAAAGCACAGACATACAGGAAACCCTAAGAAGCATAGAGAAATAAGCAGTATCTTCGCGACTACAACCAGAAACTGTTAACTAAACCCTAAATAAGCCCTAAGTGAGCCCTCAACCCCTCAGGGGCTCCCCTCAGGGGCTCCCCCCCCCCCCTCACCTCCTTCCGCTTCTGCCCCGCCGCGCGCTGCCCGCCGCAGGCCGCCAGCAGCAGCAGCGCCAGCACGGCCAGTGCCGCCATGGCTGCCCCTCGCTGCCACCGCCGGCTCAGCCCCGCCCAGCCGCTTCCCATTGGCTGCAGCGCCTGCCCTTGTCAGCCGCCGGGTTTCGATTCGCTGGCGCCGCTGTCAGTACGGCCGCGGTGGGCCAATAGGAAGGGAGCAAGCTGGAGGAGTGTGATTGGCGGGCGGGCGGGCGCGGAGCGCTGAGGGGCGGGGCGTGTCGCGACATGGCGGCGGCGCCCCCTGAGGGTATCGCCGTGCCCTGTCGTGAGGCTGCCGACAGCCCCCGCGTCTCCCTCGTTAAACGCCACAAAGCGTCTCCCTGCCACAGCGTGCGGTTGGTGTTCCACCCGTAGCTGTCCCCCTCTCCCTCAAAAAACCCACAAAAGAAATGCAGAATCACAGAATCACAGAATTTCTAGGTTGGAAGAGACCTCAAGATCACCGAGTCCAACCTCTAACCTAACACTAACAGTCTCCACTAAACCATATCCCTAAGCTCTACATCTAAACATCTTTTGAAGACTTCGAGGGATGGTGACTCCACCACCTCCCTGGGCAGCCTGTTCCAGCGCCTCACAACCCTTTCAGTAAAGAAATTCTTCCTAAGATCCAACCTAAACCTCCCCTGGTGCAACTTTAGCCCATTCCCCCTCGTCCTGTCACCAGGCACATGGGAGAACAGGCCAACCCCCACCTCACTACAGCCTCCTTTAAGGTACCTGTAGAGAGCGATAAGGTCGCCCCTGAGCCTCCTTTGCTCCAGGCTGAATGAAACTAAGAGGAGCTTTAGGGCTTCCGCAGGTTTTCTTTAATTTTATAACCGCACGCACGTCGCTGGCCAGTGTGTGTGAAAAATGGGGGGTGAAATTAGTAAGTAGGCACTTGGAGAAACGGGGTCTCCAACGCCTCCCGTATTCACGCTCTGTGTGTGTGCCCGGGGGGGGGTCAGTAACACAGAACGCCGCCCTGGCGCAGCGAGTCAAATGCTTTTTTTTTTTACGCTAAAAACCTTCCCCCTTAGCTTTTTAGGTCTTTCAGGGATTAAAATTCGTGGAGTTGGACAGAAAGAAAAAAAAAAAAAAAAAGTGGTGTCAGAAGTGGGATTCGAACCCACGCCTCCATACGGAGACCAGAATACCCAGCCGCGGCGGGAAGGCGGGAGCCTTGAGTCTGGCGCCTTAGACCACTCGGCCATCCTGACACTGCGGCAACAGCGGCCGCGCGGGGCCTCTTAGCGCCTCCGTCACGGCTGCGCCTGCTCCCTGCCCGTTCTGTTCCTTCCGTTTCTTCTTGAAACAGCGCTTCTGAACCCGTACAGCGGAGCAGAACCCCGAGAAGATCCTCCAGAGAAACCTCCGCCGCGGCTACAGCGCTCCGAGCGCCGGCAGCCGGGAGGAGCCTCCCCTCCGCCTCCCCCCCGCCTCCCCCGGGAGAACTACATTACCCAGCGTGCTCCGCTCGGCGGCGCGGCGCGAGGGCGGAACTTCCGGCGCGGCCATTTTGTTTTTCAGGGCTCCCCAAGGGTAGCGGCGTCCCGCCGGCCGCTGTCCCGCACCATGTTCCCCGTGGCCAGGGCCGCTCTGAGCCTCGCCGGTAAGCGGGGGGCGGCGGTGGGGCTGTGGCAGCGCCTGGGGGCGGCCGGTTCCTCGGTGGGGCTCTGTGGTTTCCTGCTGCCCCTGGCAGGGGTGGTCCTGAGCTGTCCCCGGGCTTGCTTTCCCATGAGGGAGGGTCCCTGAGGGCCGGTGAGGGGCTGCGGGCAGCTCTCAGCCCTTTGTCCTCTGCTGCTTTTATTTTTTTTGCTTCTTCCTCTGTTTTCTACCTCGTAGTTGTTTACTGGAGCTGACCTTGGGTTCCCTTTCTCAGTGTTTTTTCCTCCTTAATAATAACTAAAGGCGCATAAAGGTCTTGTAATCCGTGTAGTGAGGTTGCAGAGCACTGTCAGTGCTAAATGCTTAAACTCAAGGGCTAAATAACCTCTGCAGTGCTGGAATCGCTAGCGTTACAGCCAGTCCCCTCAGCTGCAGGCCTGGTGCATCAGCACTATGATGTGCTCAGTCCAAACAAACGTGCTTAGGTGTGTTTCTCTCAGTCGATGTTTGGGATTCTTTTGTCAGTTTAAAAAAAAAAACAACACAAAACTTGTGCTTGTGTGGGCTCACTTCTTTTAAGCTGGTGGTTTGATACTTGAGTCTGTCTTCTCTTAAATAAGAGTACCATTTATATTGTACGCTTACATCCATCATCCAATCTGTCATATGGAGAGATTCTCTTTATTTAATCCTCTATTATTTACATCATGCAAAGTCCTCCAGGTATTTCCACTTCCTTCTTCACCTCCCTTCAAGAATCTTAAAGAGAATGAGAGGTGTTAACCATCTCTGATGCTTCATTTGATGGTAGGATTCATCCTGAAAATGCTTATATGAAGTACATGTACTGGAAATATAAACATAAATCTCAAATGTATATACTGAAAATAAACATTTATGTACTAAAATTACATTCTTAAAGAAATAGTCAAAACTGTAGTTGAACTTATACCTCGAGGGTCTAGAGAAAATGTAAATGAAAAAACTAACTTAAAGGATTTATTACCAGAAGCAGACTTCAGAGATATATTTCTAGAGACAAACTGGGAGAGCTGAAACGAAATGCAAGACTTCCTGTATATGCAGACATTACAATCGTTGCAAAGCTCTGAAGATTATTCTATTTCCTTACTTTTTTGCCTTTCTGTTGATGGGAGACAATGATTGTGAATGGTTTGTACCTACGTTTTAGTTGACTTGTGTATTTTTAATTTAACTTCCCTTAGCTCGCCGTGTCCAGCATACTGCAGTAAGGCAGGCTCATCACAAACATGAGCCAAACTTCCATGACAAGTATGGAAACCTGGTACTGCTCGGTGGAGCTGCAGTTTTTGCTACTGTCTGGGGTTATGTAAGTCTTTTTTTCACCATTTTGTTGTGATATAGCTGTAAACTTCCAAGCTATTCTCAGAAGGGCTTACTTGTTACAAATACTGCAAGTGATCAGAATTTTGGAGGTTTTTTTGAGTGAGTAGTAATGTGATATGAAAGTTTTATTATTTCATTGTTTTTATTTTGAATTCTTACACAAGTTTCAATATCAGGCTATTCAATGATGTTTCAAACAGAGCAGAAGCGAGTGTTTGTTATGTCATTGTCTGAGCTATTCAGGCAGGGGTCTTGGCAGAACGTGTAGGTTATGGTGCAAGTAACGGTATGGGTGATGTGTAAGAAATCCATTTTAGTGATGTGGCTTGACATCCCAGATTAATCTATTTATATCTAGGTATTTTGTATGTTTTATATACGTGGATATTTTTATATAGAAATATCTATCTATAGTTAGATACTTTGAAAGAGAAAACTGAACTATTTAAGTCATGCTCAATATAAATACATTCCGCTTTATTGAAAGGTGAGTGAGGTGTTCTGATACAGGAAATCTAAATGGAAAACACCAGAAATAGCGCTGTAGTGGCACGTCTCCCCGCTTTCAGCGTTCACATTTGGGTTTATCCTCCCGCAGGTGTTCACGCAGGCGGGCATCGAGTGGGGCCTGTCCCCTGTGGGCAGGATCACTCCGAAGGAATGGAGGGAGTGACAACTGGCAACCAGCCGCTCCGAGCTCTCCCTGCGGTCCTGCCGGCGTTTATTCCCCGAGTCCCGCCGGTGTGGCGGCGTTCCTGCCCTAATAAACATCCCTGGAAACCCTCCTGTCTCCTGCCTCGCCTCCTGCCTCTCTCTGCCTTCCCCTCCCGTTCTCCGCCGCCATCCCGGTCCCGTTCCCCCCCCACTTCCGCATTGAGCCGCGGCCACGTGACAGCGGCGCCTCCCCCGCCACGTGACGCGGGGGGCAAGGGGCGGGGCGCGCCCGCGCCTCAGGCGGGGAGGGAGGGAGGGGGAGGGGCTGCGGCGCTGCTCCCCGTCAGGGCGCTGAGGCGGCGGGCGGCGAACCGGGAGGAACCGTGAGTAACCGCCGAGCCCCTGCAGCCCCCAGGGTCTCTTCCCCGCTCCTTTTTTTCCTCTTGTCTATAGTTTTTCCCCTCCCCTTCCCCCCCGCGGTGTTTAAGTGGAGGCGTTGCGCCTTGCCGCGCCGGCGCTCTGTGCCCGCGGGCGGTTTTTCCGCTGTTTTCCCCGTTTTTTGCCAGTAAAAACGCGGTGTGAACAGCCCCGGGGAGGGCAGAGCGTCGCCTGTGGGGTTTCGGAGCGAGGTAACACCGCTGAGGCGCGGCGAGCGCGGCTTCCCCACAGCCCCCCTGCCCCCTGCGCTGCCTTCAGGTCCCGTCAGTGCGGGGCTGTAACGCCCCAAATAACGCCCCAAAACGCTTCCTACAGCTGCCAGGCTGCGGCTGGGGGTGTGAACAGACCAGGAGATACCCTACAAGGCAGGCGGGCGCAGGGAGATGCGCTGTGGGCACCCCCAGCCCGGAGCCGCGCTGTGTTCCCCTCAGGAGGGGCGGCCCGGCCCTTGCTGCCCCCCCCCGGTGCTGGGCAGGGCGCTAGGAGCCGGCACGCCGTGCCACCCGCTGCTTTTATTCTGATTTTCGCTTGCACGGCGGGTTCCGCCTTCTGAGGCAGGAGCCAGGAGCCTCAGCTGCCCTCGTACACCCGGGGGTGAGGTGATGAGGTTTTCCTCCTGACGCTTGTTGCAGCCCTTCCCGGGAACTCCCGGGTCCTCCGGAAAGCTGCTCTGAAGAGCGAGTGGAAGGACAGGAAGAAGTGAAAGGATTTGTGAAGAGTTTGTCTCAAGTATTATAAAATTCTCGTTAGAACCTAATGGAAGGGTTTTTTAATTCATGCTCTGTTTGTCTTTTTTTTTTTTTTCATCTGTCGCATATAGAAATAAAGTTCCTCGGGGCAATTTCCAGAGTCTGCTGAGCCAGCAGGAGTTGCTAAAGTCTTGAGCAGCACAAATTGCAGCCTGCTCAGAGCCTCGGAGTCTGTGCGGGATGTTTATTACAGGCGGACAGTTTCTCCTCTGATAAAGCCTCACGTATGGGGCCGTACTCTCAAAAGTGACTATTTGCCTGTGAAAGTAGCAGAACCCCATTCTTGTCTAGCAGACCAGACCACCTGTAACCAGTATTTTCATAAGCTCAGCGGGGTTGTAAACTTTGGCCTCTTTCTGCTGTCCTTTGTTATTTTTTTTCATGTTTTTGGAGACCCTTAGGGATGGGTACCTGTCTTCTGCTAAATGTAATTAGGAATCTTTCTTTTTGCTGTCAAAAAGAAAGCTATAAAGTAGGACTTAGCCATTTGGAAATTTAGTACAGTCCTGAGTTAGATTTGACAGATTCTGTTTGTTTGGAGGCGAGAGGCAAATTCCATTTGTTTGGTAAACTAGCTTTTGCTGACATCTTTCAGCAGCAGCTCTAAATTCAAAATATGTATGGAAAACTTTGATGAAAACTAAGGCTGTGCACTTGGAGAAGCACACAGTATTTCTGTTATGTATCCGTACTGATCCTAGAAGAGACATGAAGCATGTTTGTGGTGCATGGTGAGTGCGTTGTTACACTGAGGTGCCTGGGTTAGCTCAGATACTAGAAGCTCTTAAACATTTTTGGGGTATAAGATGAGAGTCTGGGGTTCTAGCATTGCAGTAGCTGTACCACTTACCTTTTTTTTGGTAGCATGATGTTATGACTGACAACTTTGACTTTACCTAGACTTATTATGCTTCAAGACTGCTGTTAGCACGTCCAAGCAAATGACCTGTTGATGTGAATCCGAGTTTCTCAGTTGCCCTGAGTCTAATCACTGTTTAATTTTCCTTTCCCTTGGAAGAAGTTGTTATTTTAACACAGGCAACCCCAGCGTTAAGCCTCAAATTGTCCCTGCAAGCACTTGGCTTCCTTTCCAAAGATCCTTTAGGTTTTAGCTATCCTTGCGCACTGCCTGTGCTGTCGCTGGGTGCTGCCGCGCTGGGTAACGTACAGTGCTTGGTTCTTTGCTACTGCAGAGCCCCAGTATTTCTAGGGCTCTGGTGCTTCATTGAGGGTGTTAATACAGCTGCAAGGAAGTACTGCTGGTTTGTGTGCTGCAAAACACAGGTGAAAGAGTACTGAAAGGATTAAAACAGCTAAAAGGGGAGTTTCTAAAGGTGTTGAGCTGTAAATAGTGCACTGGAGAATACAGTAAGCTGACAGCTGCTTTCACAAAGCGTGGTGAAAGCCAAGGCTGAGATGAACTTCAGATGGTATTCCAGAAGAGCAGTAGCTGAAGCCTTGTTTCCTTGTGTTCTGAATATGGAGCTGTTAGACTGGGTGTGTGCACAGGGGTCTTCCTGCTGCTTGGCTGCACTGCCAGATCCCTAAGTGGTGATCGAGATGCTCTACAGGTGGAGCAATGCCCTGGTCGAGAATGTAGCCGTCACTTCTCTATAAACCAGGGGTGATCTATGCATCTCACCCCAAAAATGTGTCTGTGACTGTCATGACCCAAAGGGTTACCTGGCCTGTGGGTCTGCAGGGATCTCAGGAGTGGGCTTACAGGATTCTGTGATGCACAAAGGCACAGAAGGTTTATTTTCTCAAGGTTTCTGCTTATTACAGATTAGCACCAGCCAGCACTAGCAAATACAATGATCAGTAAGGTGAATATACAGACAGGTAATAAGCAATTACAGATATTACAAGGATGCAAATAGATGTGTAGTAGATATTAAGACTATAACACTAATTAATAGCAGCAGCAATTAGAGCTAGTAGAAAGTCAATTAGGGGTAGTAAAAGTTCAGCCATATAATACCTACAAATGCAGATTGGCTTGGTCCCCAGCGAAGGTGCAAGTTATACAGGACGTCCTCTAGGAGAGACAAGTTTGTGCAGTATGGAGAGGTCTCGGGGAGAGAGAGGCTCTGTTTTGGGTAGAAAACAAGTCATTTTTACATTGCAGGGACGTAGGAGGTCATAGGCCACCTCCTAGAGCAGCCAGTAGATGCTGCTAACCTCTTTTTGGTTTTGCCCTTATCAATGGTTCATTGGGGACGCCATCTGCCTTGCTGTTGGGTAGTGATGAGGATCTTCTATCAGCATATAAGATAGATATAGGCAACTAGAAGGCTTTTTAGAAAGCATTTGGTTTGTTGGTTGTTTCAGCCACGCGCTACCAAACCATAATTGTCCCTTCTACCTTGAATTTCTTTTGAGTGAATGTGTGTGTATATATACATATACACACATATATACTCACACACACACACACACACACACACTGTAGCAAGGGTAAGGAAATGGGAAGTTGTGTTCACAGTACTGCTGTAGCTCACAAAGAGTGCTACACGCTGTCACGAGATCGTTTGACTTCTGCATCCATTTTCTTGTTGACTTGGTAAATATTAATGCATTTAAGGAGAAGGAGGTTTGTATTGTCAATATTTATGTTGCTTGTCTGCAGATAGCCATAACTTACTGGTGTAGTGAAGTTTTCAGGCTGGTTAGTCGTGAATTTATCTTGAGTTAATGGTGTCGGAAGGAGGGAATTTTGACAAAACTATTTCCTTTAAGTTTCAGCCAAAGTATTTCTACAGGAAGCACTCAAAGGGGAGATAGGATATTAGAAATGAATGGAACCAAATGGAATACCGGCACGTGGAAGAATGTGTTAGCTTGTCAGTTTAACTTGCTGTTGTCCTGGGGATTTTTGTATTGCAACAAAGCAAATCAAAATCCCTGTTTGTCTGATAGGCCTTCCCCCCCCCCCCCCCCCCCAGTAGAGAGCTTACGCATATATCTTGTAGCTCCAGCAGTGTTTCCTAATGATAAGCTGGAGAACAAAAGGAAGAGAGGGAGTTTGATCCAACAGATAAATTCTGTGACAGAAGTTTTGGATTCAGTCCTGGCACTACGGGGTCTTGAAGAGGGGAAAGTGATTTTCCTCTTAAGCCTTTAAGCCTTGTGCGTGTTTGAGTCGCGGTTCCCTCCAGGAGAGGATTTTCTCTGCCACTTTTGTGCGGTGCTTAATGCCATGGGGCCCTGGTCGTTGGTCCTGGGAGAGCAGACTTGAAAAAGCCCAACCAAACACGCCAAAAACCCTCCCTGGGGCAGTGAAGGGAATGAAGCTCGGTTGGTTTTGATTTATTATTTAAATTCAAACGCAAGCAGATTGTGCTTTATTTTAAAGGAAAGATTGTGTCTATACAAAACATGCATATGAAATTTTATTGACATAATAGGGTTTTAACATGCTTTATGGGCCTAACATGCTTATTCAGGTCCTGAATTACCGCAATCAAATTATTTTCTTTTACTTCCGTAAATACCATCCATCATATCTGAAGTCGTGTTTCAAACGTTAGTCAGTTAGATGAGGCCAGGGAGGCAGCAGGACTCTTTATTTCCCTTTCCACGTGCTGTCTTTTCGATGGGAAAACATGAGGCTGTGCAGGAACTGGTGGCACTGACCGTGTGGAACCTGTCCCATCTGTGCCAGATGACAGGACAGGGCGTCTCAGCTCTCTGGTTGCTGTGCTCACAAAACACTCTGCAAGTCAAGTACTTTCTGGACACTCCACCTGTACTTTAGCCTTTTGGGAAGATTCATTGCTGCCTGGAATTACAATTACGCCCTTGTTTGCTCAGTGGACTGAGCCTTCCTTGTGGAAGAGCTGAAGTGTCAGTGAGGGCCATGTGATGAAATGAAAGCACGTCTTTTAGTGAGCTTTACAGTCTTCTTAAAAAAGATCTTGTGCCTCAGAGTATGCAGATGAG